ATGGGAGTGTTGCCCAAATATTCCTGAAAGATCTACCCTTTTCTGCACAATCCCTCTAGTATGCTAGCAAGTGTCTGTGGGATGACTATACCTGGTTTCTTGGGAGGAATTTGACTTAACTGGGATATGAGACACGTCTAAGAAGCAAATTAGTTCTTTATGTCTCTGAGACCAGGGCTCTACCAACGTCCTACTGATGTCATAAAACCATGGTTTGGGAAAGGTCAGTGACAACAATCTGAGGTGGAGTCTAGCCAGTAGAGTAGAAAGAGTTCTAAATGATGACAGTTTAGATTCATATGATTTGCCTGGAACCTCTGGGCACGTTTGTGATGCCATTATGAAGGACAGATGATAGCCTCATAAAACAGTGGCATTATCTTCAGAGGAGAACATCTGAGCAAGTGTAGTACCCTAAAGGCAAACAGACTCTTGGAAGTTTGACACATGGAAGACTGCTAGGGTAGTCACAAGAGTCTCACTTCTTTTCTAAACAATCCACCCACTAAGTGAGTTTTCGAACAAAGGACAGTAAAGAAGTTTCACTGGACAACTTGTGACTTCTGCACCTGCCACAATGTGAATCAGGAGCACTTGACTGCTTTGCCAACAGGCAGCCTCCAGATGTGCTGTTAGGAAGGGATATCGTCCACCTCAATTTTAGAGAACCCTAAAAGTAACCCTGTAAAAGAACAGGGGGGTGTCTTCTGGTCAAATCCCTAAACTATTAATATTTATTTGCTTCTCTTTCTCTTAAACCTACTTTCTTTGCTCCACAAGCCCTAAAGCGTTTCCACACTCAACTGCCTCTACCAACTCCAGCCCTGGTTTTAAAATTGAAAGTCGGAGGGCTGGGTGCATGCCTGTAATCCCAGCACTTTGGGAGGCCGAGGTGTGAGGATTGCTTGAGGGCGAGAGTTAGAGACCAGCCTGGGCAACATAGTGAGACCCCTGTCTCTATAAAAAATAAAATAAACTTGAAAGTCCCGTCTCCTGGGACCTTCTCAGTCTCAGGCTGGTTGGTCTCTCTAGTGCAAGACATTCTCTCCACCCTGCTCAACTATTATCCCCCTGTTCCCAAACACTTAATCTCTCTTCATGTCTAAGTGTTTTTATAGAAGGACACCAGAAGGAAGTAACAGAGAGGCACACACACAGGGAATATACACATTCACAGTGATTTTTCTTGGGGTTGGCTGCTAGAGCTCACAGAGGCCCCTTTTCCCTAGACAGTCTGTGCCAGGGACAGCAGCCACACCTGGGGAAGTCATACCCCACTCCATCCTGATAGAACAGTACAAACAGCCAGCACCCTTGCGTAAAATGGAGGCTGCCTCTGCAGCACGGCTTATGCTCTAGACTCTAGAGCCCTCCCTCCCCTCTGTGCATTGGGCCAAGGGAGGATTTCTTGAGATTCATTCCTGCTTGGGTTTTGCTTGGATCTTTCCAGTTCCTTGTCCTGTTTCACTCCCTGCCTCAGTAAATCATATGGATCTCCATCCCCATCTCAGGATCTGATTCTAGGGAAACCAACCTAAGATACTGTAAAATGGGAATGATATTAGTACCTACTTCATAATAGTTAAAATAATAGTAACTGCAAAAGTTATTTAGCGCTATATACTAGGCCCTGTCCTTGCATCAGTCAGCATCCAGGTAGAACCCTCAAACACAAAAAGTGCTTAGAATAGTGCCTGGCACATATTTAGCACCAGTAATGCTTAGCTATTATTATTTATTGATTCACTTTAGATTTCACAGGAAAGATGAACCCTAATAGGCTGTTTCCCCTGCATTTTGAAGTCTCCTTCCCATTCGCCTTTTCTTGGGTAATCCTTTGGAAAGCTTTTACCCCATCCCCATTTTTTCCTTCTTTTATCTTAAAGGTGAACTACCAAGTCCACATTCTTGCTGAGGAACCTCCACACCCAAGGCTTCTGACTTCAGCCAAGGGAGCACTGTTACCCTCTGATAGACTTTGTTGGGGAGGGAACATGTGTTATCTACTTGGTTATTCAAATTCGACTTGATTCAGTGTGGTTATTTATAACTCAGGGAAGTCCAGCCACTCTGGCTTCATCTTTAAAAAGCTAAGCTTGGCCTATCCTAACATCCCCACGTGTTGTGCGACTGTGCACATGCTCACTGCTCTCGCCCCACTCCAAGGCACTGAAGAATGGTCAAGGAAGCCTGTCTGCAGTGTCGGCACCAGGAGCTTTCATCTAGCAGTGCGGGAATGGTGCAGCGCAAACCTCACTGCCGTGTTCCCAGCACCCAGCAGAGCGCTTGGCACATAATAGGCATTTATTGAATGACAGTATATGTTAAATGGGTCTCTTCCTCTCTGCCTGATTTAGGACTCCATCAAGATTCAGGTGCCTTTTCTAGTTTGTTTTTCATCATATTGACTTTTATGAAGAGTCTGGGCTAGCTGCAGAATGTCTCAAATTCTGGATTTGTTCCAGAGTGCTCTTTTAAAAATACAAAGCAGATAAAGTTACTCCTGTGCTTAAAACTTTCCACTGGCTTCCTATAACATTTCAAAAATAAAGTCCATACTCACTACCCTGGCTTTCAAAGGCCTCGGTGGCCTCTTGTGTGTTTTCCCCTCTCTCACTTCAGCCACAGTGGCCTTCCTCCAGTTTCTCAAACCCACAAAGGAGGACTTTGCATTAGCTATTCCCTTTGCCTAATGTGCTCTTCCCTGAAGTTTGCTTGAAGGCGGGATCCTTCTCCATAATTGAAGTCTCTCTTTGAATGCCATCTTCTCAGAGAGGCCTTCCTTACCTTGACCCTCAATCTAAAATAGTCATTCGCTCATTCACTCTCACATCACCCTTCTTCTAACTCTCCGCATGGTACCTATCACCATCTGATATTTTTTCTTGTCATCTATTTTCATTTTTTTTTTTGAGACAGAGTCTCGCTCTGTTGCCCGGGCTAGAGTGAGTGCCGTGGCGTCAGCCTAGCTCACAGCAACCTCAAACTCCTGGGCTCAAGCGATGGTTCTGTCTCAGCCTCCTGGGTAGCTGGGACTACAGGCATGCGCCACCATGCCCGGCTATTTTTTTCTATATATTTTTAGCTGTCCAATTATTTTCTTTCTATTTTTGGTAGAGACGGGGTCTCGCTCTTGCTCAGGCTGGTTTCGAACTCCTGAGCTCAAACAATCCGCCCACCTCGGCCTCCCAGAGAGCTAGGATTACAGGCGTGAGCCACCGCGCCCGGCCCATCTATTTTCATTGAGCTCCATGACAGAAGGGGCTGTGTTCTGCTGTGATCACTACTGTATTCCCAGTACCCACAACAGTTCCTGACACACAGCAGAAACTCAATAAATACTTGCCGAATGCTGTAATGAATAAGCTGAAAGCTGAGGGATAAAAAGAAGCCAGCCATTTAAAGAGCTTGGGGAAAAATCTACGTAGAAGGAACTGCCAGGGAGGAGGTCCTGAGATGAGGTTTGGTCTGTGCTAGGGCCTGAGGAATGTGCTGTGTATTTTTAGGAAAGTGAGGTAGCAGGAGAAGGAAATACAGGAGTATAGAGGTGGGCAGTGGCAAGATGGCTTAAGATTTTGTGGGCCATGGTAGGGAGTTTGGATTTTATTTTAAATTGAATGGGAAGTCACTAAAGGTTTTTAAGTAGGAGAGTGACATAACCTGAATCATGCCTTTTAAAAGATAATTTAAAAGATAATTTAACTTGAGTGAGTAGGAAGATGGAGCTAACATCAGAAATAGAAAGTCACATGTGTAAAAGATTTGCAGGGACGAAATAATGATTCATTTTGGACATGTCGAATTCAATATATTGTACTTCCTTTGTGGCTTTCGTAGTATTAGTACTTAAAAGTATCAATACTTAAAAAGAATTTTATAGGTAAGAAGGAATTATAATACCTACCTCTGTAATAATACAGCCAGCTAATTTGGTGGTTGTTTATAAGAACCCGATATTAAAGCTGCTTGATAATAATGATACTAGGTGCCATGTATTGAGCAGTACCTACGTGTCAGGCCGAATGTCAACCACTTAACAACCCGATCTCACTGAGGCATCAAAACAACCCTTATTAGAAGAGTATGTATTATCTGTGTTTTACGGATAATAAAACACAGGCTAAAGAGAATAAAGGCTAAATAAAAGGCTAAAGAGAATAAGTAACTCGGCCAAGGTCCGGTAAGTGGCAGAGTTGGAACTCTAACCCAGGTCTGGTTTGATGCCAAAGCTGTTCCTTTAAACGATCTGCCATAACTCGCACCTAATGAGAAATGTTGCTCATTAGGTTACGGCTGTCATTCAGAGAGATACTGAAACCGGGATTTTCTTTAACATATTCTTAACCCCGTAGAAACACTTAAATTTCATTTAAGTGGAGAAATATCTATTTGAGAAATAATCTAACTAAATTCATCAAATTCTTTACCCCAGAGAGGCTCCAGTCTTGGTATTTTGTGAAGAACAAACTGAGAACTATTTTCTGGTTAACTTGGTATGGAGGGGAGGTGTACGGAATAAAACTTACTCTTCCCAGCGTATTTGGAATGTAGCTGCTGAAAGTAAGTAAAACTGCCACCCAGTTTTCCTGGGAAACAGCAATTCTGCAGTCAACAAAAGTTTGCTTTTCCAACAGCTGGAAACGCCATAATTGTGACACAGCTTCAAGAACTGAGGCTGCCTTGTTCAGACTTTCACACGGTCCCCTGTTCCTTTCAGAGGCCTCTTTTTCTTAAACACCCTGCAGCTGCCGCTTGGAATACTCATTCTCTAGGGCGGCTCCGAGTCTCGAGTCTCGTAGGAAGGACGCACTGATTTGGGGATCCCATCTTTTAAAGGAGTCAACCCAGACCCTATCTGAACTCTGGACGATCTTTATTGTTCCACCTTTCAGTGTACGAAGAAGAAATAAGGGAACAGGAAAGAAACTTCAGTTTGGTGTTTGAGGACTAGGCTCGGAGCCAGAAGAGTACCGAGCCTTCAAAAGCCCCCTCAACCTGACACGCAGGTCCTGGGCGGGCAGGAGAAGGCAGCGAGGGGGCGAAAGCCGCGCCCCGCCCCCCCGCGCCCCGCCCCGCCGCCGGTCATTGGCGGGTCCGAAAGACGCGGGGCGTGGCCGGTTTGAATGAGAGCGGCTGCAGCTGGGGGCGCAGGCGCAGAAAAGGGAGGCGTTGAGGGCTGGCATCGCTGCGGGACCCCTAGGTGGCGGAGGGACGCCGCGGGGAGGCGAGGGGAGCCCAGGGCTCCGGACCACGTGACCGGGCGGAGGCGGAGGGCTCGCGCCGCCCCCAGTGGTGCCCTTGCCAGGCTCGCGGACCCGCGGGGGGTAGGGGCCGTGACCGCCCGCCAGTTGCCGTAGGCGGCAGCTGTTTCTGCTTCGCCGCGAACCCCGGACCCGCTGGCCCATGGGAGGTGAGTTCTGCCGTGGCGCAGGGGCTGAGGCGTTTGAGGGGCCCCCGGAGGGAGGTGACCGGGAGGGGGTGTGTGTGCGTGTAGGGGGCGACATCCTTTGTTCGGGGCGGGAGGAGGCGGGGTGGCCGGCGGAGACGGGGCGGGGGGCTTGCCGGGGCCGGGGGCGCTGCGTGGACGCGGCGTCTTGTGTGTCCGGCTCGGGAACCAGAAACTCGGGCTGAGGAGCAGCTTGCACCAGTACGATCCCTGAGTTGCTTTCTTGGAAGATGTTAGAGTGAGACTAAGCTTAACAGCTTCATTTGCTAATTTTTTAAGATAAAAAGTATACTAGGATACAGTGACTTCTTACGTACTCCGAGCGCGAATAATGAATAGTAGATTAAAAGTCCGAATCCCCATGGAATTAAATCCCAGGCGGATCGCAGTCCCTTGTGTTCGTGCGCTCGATATCTAAACTAGGCAGGTTTTGTCAAATATCTGCATTGGTTACATTTAAATTCGCAAACTTTTAGGCACCATCAGGTCGATTTACCCATAGAAATAGGTAGTTGCTGCAAGAAGTTAAGGCATAAAATGTTAAGAAAACCCTTTTCTGAAATCTATGGAATGTCTTCAATTAAAAAGTAGAAGATATAATTTCCTTATGTCTTAATGGTGCCAATTAGATCATTTTAACTAGTATCAATTGAACTCTTAAAAGGGGGATGGAAATTTTATTTGCCTTAATGCATAATTTAACCCCACCTTAGAATTAAACGAAGTAAGTTCTTGGCTTTCCTTTCTGTCAGGCTTGTATTGGAGTGCTTCCTGGTTTGTATTGGAAGTTAACATGACCAGCCGAGCTGAATTTTCAAGCAGCCACTTTAGAAGGGTGTACCAAAGATTTCTGGCCTGATAGAAGCCAGCATGATTAACTTCTGATAAATACCACTTTTCTTGGGTTCTCACTATTCAAGAGCAGCTTTGGCTGATTGTTTAAAAACGAATAAACAACATACTAACCGATAACACTAAGGTGCTCACGTGGTGGTAATATTCATTGGGTGTGGTCAGGTGGGAAGGTTGCGGGGAGTAAACTCACAGCTGATGGATGCGGTGCGCACTGTTTGGGGGCAGGGCACGCCTGTAGCCCTGGCTTGGGCGAGGCAAAGGCATTACTTGTAACCAAAATGTTTGTACCCCTATAATATCCTGAAATTAAAAAAAACAAAAACTCCCCCCCAAAAAAAACATAAAAGAAGAAAGATCACTGTTGTTGAAGTAGGTAAGGAGGCGGGATGCTCAGGGATGAGGAGCAACCTCATACTTACTCGGCTTTGCACCTTACAGTGGATTGGTTTTGACAAGAGGTTTCTCAGGCTATTATTTACAATTTAAGGAGTGGAGCGGTTACAAAGTAAAAAGTTGTATGATATTGTTGTAGAGGCATGTCCCCCAACTCCTCTTTGACAAGATAAGCGGTTTAATTGTATTTTCTTCCATTATTAAATCAGACATTTGATGTTACAAATATATTTTAATATAAATCTGAGACTTGCTACTAGGCTAATTAAAACAGTGCTAGGTTACAGTAGTTGTAAAATGGCTTTATTTTTTTGCTTTTTTTTTTTTTTGAGACAGAGTCTCGCTCTGTCCCCAGGCCCCGGAAGAGTGCAGTGGCGTCATCATAGCTCACTGCAACCTCATGCTCCTGGGCTTGAGCTATCCTCCTGCCTCAGCCTCCCGAGTAGCTGACACTCATAGGCGAGCACTACAACGCCCGGCTAATTTTT